ATAGTGTGCGCAAGTTTTATTTTATTCTATTAGATATTCTCAAGGCGCTTCTGGGAACTCGTATTTTGATGAGCCTTCTTTATTTCTATTTTTATTTATTAGGTTTAGTTTTCCGCGAATGCTTTCATTCGATTTGCATGCACGGTTATCGTATAGCAGTCCATTTTTATTTTGTAATTTACTTCGGACAGTTTTTCAATAATTATCGGTCTGATCCATTGCGCTTCTAATTTCTTTGAGCGTCCTCGTCTAACTGTCTCATCGTACAGTAGAACCTGTTCGCCTATTTGAAATGTTTTCATCCGCGTTTCGGTCGTAGTACTGTTTCGATTTTATTTTTTCTTGTTTTATACATTCTCTCGCTACTTGGTTCGTTCTTCCATCCTTGGCACGGATCTTCTCTCGTAATTCTTGTACGTAATCGTCATACGAATAAGTTATCTTTGGCGGTTTGGTCAGTAGTTCCGCCTGGTGCCCGTAAATTAATTCAAATGATGTGAATCCCGTCGCTATCGCGTGTGGCGTTGTATTATACGCAAACATTGCGTAGAGTAGCCATTCGTCCCCAATTTGTTTGTTTCTCATTTATGTAATGTCGAAGATATTTTGTCAAAGTTCTGTGTGAGCGTTCTAATGCTCCATTACTTTCGGGGTAATAGGCTGAATCTTCTCGATCTTCAACAACTTGCATGTATTTTTAAATTCATTTATTTCACTCATGAAATTCGTGCCTTGATCAATTAAAATCCTTTCAGGAATCCCGTGTTCGGCAACTATTTTGGTGACAAAGACTTTTGCCACCATATTTGCTTCTTGATTCTCTATCGGAATCGCTTTATTAAATTTCGTTAAATTATCTTGAAAAATTAAGATATATTTGTTTCCGGCGTTCGTAATGGGTAGTAGTCCCACTAAATCAAGCGTACATTTTTCGAACGATTTTTTTGGTGTGTCGGTAATGACCATTGGCAGCTTGGTTTTTTGGTTTAATTTATTTTTCTGAGAGTTCGCATTTATTAATATAATCCTCCACGTCGCGCGTTATACCGCCAATTATGTAATAGTTTAATTCGGTTCAGAGTTCGTGCGACTCCTTGATGTCCCCCTGTCGGCGCATCATGATATTCATAAAATATTTGTCGCTTTTCTTCTGCAGTGTATTCTCGTTTTATTTCTTCCTCTCTTTCGTCGTCGTTCTCTCTTCGTCGTGTGCGACGGTGTTTAACTGTGAGTCAAGATAATCGGATTTCTACTTAGCGCATCCGCGTTTGTATTTTTTTTGTCTGCCTTGTGAATAATTTCGTAATCATATTCTTCTAGCTTGAGTCTCCACGTATCAATCTAGAGCCAGGGTCTGTAACGCTGAATAGCCAATCTAATGGTCGATGATCGGTGATTATTTTAAATTTCGTTCTGTATAAATGTGATCGGAAGTATTTAACTCTCCATACTACGCTAGAAGCTCTTTCTCAGTTGTATTATAATTTCGTTCTGCTTTATTTAACACTCTGCTGGCATAGACTATTAGACGATCCTGATCTATCCGTTCTTGTAATAATATTGCTCCGATGGTGTAATCGGACGCGTCGTGGTTACAAAAAATTCTTTAGTAAAATGTGGGTAATTTAATATTGGTAATTAATTTTTCTTTCAGTGTCGGGAAAGTGTATTGTTGCTCAATACTCCAATTAAATTTTTTTCTCCTTTTTTGTTAGTTTTGTTAGAGGTTTGGCAATTTTCGAAAAGTCTTGAATGAATTTTCGGTAGTATCCGGCCAGTCCTAAAAATGATTGTATATCTTTCATCTTTTTTGGTGTCGGAAATTTCTCTACCGCTTGCAATTTACAGGGATCAGGTTGTATCCCATTTTCCGTAATAATATGTCCTAGAAGTAACTTTTTTTCTAAGAAACTCGCATTTATCCGGCTGCTACTTGAGATTATGATCTCTCAGTCATCGCATTACTTCAGTTTATTGTGTTCATTCAATGTCGCATCGTATATTACTATCGTCAAGATAAACTAGACATCTGAGTCTTTGAATTCCGGTTAACACTGACTTCATTAGCCGTTGGAATTTAAGTTTAAAATCGCGCCCGCGACATTTTATTTAATTCATAGTCCATACGGTAGAAAAAACTGTTTTATTTTTATATTCTTCCTTCATAGGAATTTGATGGTATCCGGATGCGAGGTCTAACGTTGAAAAATACTTTGCATTTCCCAGCTGATCTAGGATGTCTGTGTTATATTGATAGTGGAAAAGAATCTCCGATTGTTAGATCGTTTAATTTTCGAAAATCCACTACGATGCGTAGTTTTTGTTTCCCAGATGCATCCACCTTTTTGGGTACTACTAGCAATGGCGCATTCCATTGATTCGTATTGTGACATATTATTCCGTCATCTAACATCTTTTCAACCTACCGATTTACTTCTGCTTTATGTTTCTCCGGCAATCTATAAGGTCGCAAATTTACAGGCGCGCTATCGCTACGTGTATTTATTTCATATGCTATTGTCGTAGTGTAAGTCAGTGGATTGTTCTCTACGTGAAATATGTCGAAGAAGTTAGAGCATATTTGCGTTAATGTCTTCTTTTCCTCGTGATTTAGATGTTCTATTCGTAACAATTTTTGTAAGCATTCCTGCCGTGACTGTAGTACGGCCATCGCTCTCGTGTAACGTGTAACGTGAACATCTCCGCGGCGTCACTCAACTGCACGGCGTTTAACGTTACACTTGGCGTCGTAATTTCAATAATTTCGGTTATATTAATTATACTTATTAAGCAGATATAATCTTTGGATTTTACCAGGCAACTACCAATAAATACTTCTGGTTCCGTTTCTTCTGGTTTCACTATTCCAATCTGATTTTGACTAGTAATAGCTTGCACAATGGTTTCACTACGAGGCGTTAGAATATATTTCTGGTGAGGATGCAATTTTAGATTTACGCTGCCTATTCTCAATATTTCCTTTGCATAATCGCATTTTACTCGGTGTTTCTTTAAGAAATCTATGCCGAGAATTCCTTCGTAAGCGACCGGGAAGTCATCTTTTACCACATATATGATGTGTCTTATTTCCTCATTTCCGAGGACGATCGTAGCTCGAATCTTATCGAGAGTGTGAACCTTGTGTCCTGTTACGCCGGTGAGAGCTATTTGTTCCTTTCATACTAGCGTATTTCCTTTTAAATCCCACTTTAACAAGTGTTAGGGTAGCACTCGTGTGCAATAAGAAATTCATTTTTCTTTTTTCATTTTTCCTTTATTGGCAAGGTTACTAGATCTAAAGTAGCGTTGACTTTTGCCTTGCTGGTTATCTGAGCTATTTGATGCTTTCGCGCGGTTCGCGTTGTCCTTATCTTTCTACTTTTCTGTTCTTCTTCTTTGTTACTATTGAATGACAATTTTGCGCCTTCTTTGCACATTTCATTTTGTTTTGCTCTTACCGTAGTATTTACTTGTCCTCTTGCTTCTTTCTCTTGTCTCGGTCGTCCTACTTGTTTTTCTTTGATCCATTGGGTTTTGACTAGCATTTCTTTTTATCATGTCTCGTCTTTTTATAATTTACGTAATATTTTTCCATCGCGTTTACGCCGATGGGTTTTTCGGCTCTGGGTAAAGGAAATTGGTTCGTGTATCTACTAGTTCGACAATCTCGTTCGACATGTCCGATTTTTCCGCATCTTTGGCATTGCGGTAATTTATTTTCGTGGGCGAGTGTGCGTACTGTATTTGCTTTTGCACGCTCAAAATTTTCCATTGGTCCTTTAAATTTCTCTTCCGCGCTCACGCCAGCGATGGCGTCTTGCAGCGTTGTATAATTTTGTGATCGTACCAATAGCTTTATATCGTCTAGTAAGTCTGAGCTGAAAATTGCACAGAGCGTGCTGCTGTATGGTTTTCAAGATCGCTCGTTTATTTTTTGTTGTGTTATTTCGATTTTCTATCATGGATTCGTATAGCTCCATAACTAATTTGTCCGTACGCAATCCGAACGCTCTTGCCGATTCTCCGTTTTTTTGCTTTAGAGTATTGAACTCTAGTTGCAAGTGTGTGATATTTTTCTTGCTAAGATAGCAAACTTCTAACTCTCTTTTCAACTGAGCAATCTCGCGTTTGAAAATCAGTCATAGCTCTGCTTTTTAATTTAGTGCATAGTATCGCTTCTAGTAGTGTTTCTTCTTCCGGATTCGTATTTTTCATAGTGTATGATGCGGCACTCAAGAATTCCGGCAGCTTATAAGAGATTCTATCGAATTCCGGAATCATATCGCGAGCTTCTTTTAATCGTAGATATCCCGCTACGGACTACGATTTCGTATATCTTCGAGTGTACGTCCATAAGTTATGTCTAACGGTTCGTCACGGGGTTGTTCATTAGGCACTTGTGCGAATCAATTTTCGTTATGGTCGAAAACCATAATTTCTAGTCAACCCATTCATTCTTGTAGCGCGCGAATTCCTTCTCAACACGTCTAATATTGATTCATTGTTCGGTTTTGATTACTCTACCCTTCTGCGCGAGGGATCTGCCGAAACTCTAAGACGTTCTATCTCCGCGTCTATGTCTGCGCGGGTTATTTTTGGTTCCCGAGTTTCCCTCGTAACGAGGTGTACGTAATTTCTGCCATGTTTCTATGCTCGAGGTTGCGCAGAGCCGTGTAATATTCTTCCGGATTGAAAACGCTAATATGTCGTCGTAAGATGTTAGCGAGAACTCTCTCCGTTGTGAATTTTTGGCTCTCGTTTCCTTCAGAATGTCTCGTTTTAGGATGCAGTCTGTGTTCGTCCACTGGAACTACCCGTTCCAGTATTAGGCTCTCGTCTATTTCATTGAACAGAAATACTCGATTCTATTCGCTTCTATTACGCTCGATAACTATATGTGGATAGAACACCGGCTCAGGTGAATTCTCATCCGAGTGTCGTGTTTCTAAATTTCGACGCACGCTATCGCGGATATCGCGTACGGCTTCTTGGACTATACGCACGGGGAGGACAGGACTTCGCGTTCTTTGTGTTCGCTCGCCGTGTAACCACGATATATTTCTAAAGGGTCGGTTTCTATTTATTTCGCCGTCCGACATCAATCCTATCACTTGCTTATACAATTTTTACTGCGATATGATTTTTTCACTTACAATATCGCTGCTAGCTTCATGCTGCTTTGTTGTTGTCGTAGGTCGGTGCCTTCTCTGGTGTCGCTGATATGTACTCGCTGGCTGCTCTACCGAGTGTCCTTGTCGACTGGTGTCGATGTACTTGGGCGCTGCTGGCTCGCTGCTCTGCTACCGCTGATAGCTGTAGGATTGTCGGCACTCAGTTATTCTTATCGTACTCTTTCGATTGTAGGCTTATTATTTTCTAACGGATCCTTCTCCGTCCGTTTTCCACAAGTCTTATAATTCGAGAAAGTTCCTCTTCTGCCTGCAGCTATGGGGCTAATACTACAGGTTCTCGATTTCTGCTGATTCGGTTAGCGATTATCCTCTCAGATTGTATGAATCATGGGGATAGTGTCGACAATCCCATCGCTGCCACCAAAATGTAGCCTGGATTGAGTTACAAAATTGTATTTAGGGAAAGTCGGGTTCGCCGAGCCTTAGGAGTTAGAACTCCGAGCAGGATCGTAAATGAAAGGTTCTTCTGGCGAAATTATTACTCACTTTTATTAAGTAGCTGATTTATTGGTATGACTTCTTGACAATGTTTCGTGTGAATCTCGCTATTACTGATAACGACTGGCCGTGACGAAGTATAACTGCCCTGTATTGTGACTGCTCGCTCTCGATGATTTAACGACCGCTTTATTTTTATAGTATTCTAGTGTCGCGTTTCGTCACGTTATAATTCTAAATCGGATATGATCAAAACAGCGCGCTCTCGCAGATTCCTCGTTCACGCTCTGCTTTAGAATTTGTAGACTTGCTTTTGCATGCTTGCATTTTTTTCGGTCGGCGTTTCCAAAATTCTCTTAAAAAGTCAAAATAAATTAAAAGTTTACTATGTTTACTATGTTAATAAATTATAATGTTATACTCACAAAATATTATAAAAATATGGATGAAAATATTATAAAAATATGGATTTTTTTATAGATTTTTTTATCTAAATCATATTTAAAAAGGGCATAATGGAATAAGCATGTCCTTTTTAAATGCAATTTAGATAAAGTCTACTCCCGCACCAATCAAGCTCAAATTGATGTCTTTAATAGGCACTTAAAATGTAAATCTTCCCCAAAAATTAGCCTTCAAATTATATTTTTGGGGAGTTGTAGAAAGGGAAAGCGAAATTAAAAAAGTGGTTTTTCTCAATAACGGTTGGACCGATTTTAATAAAAAAATATATGTTGTAAACATCGTTTAGGTAAGTTTAAAAAATTTTTTGGAACTTTTATGATAAAAAAAAACCAACAAAAAATGTATATATTGTGACGTGGAATCATCCATCACAAGGAGCGTTTGCTTCGATTCCGAGGACGATGGATCCTGTTGACCATCCATTTGAGAAAAGAGAGCGCAAAATGGCGCGAATCACTTATATTTTTGCATAGATTTCTTTGTTTTGTTTCCGCTTTATTTATTATTTTTGACGAGATTGACGACTGCCGAAATGACAATGTGAGATAGGATGCTTCCCGACGACCAGCTTCAACTAGATCGGAAGAGGATGTCGCTACCGAACGCAGGAAAAGAGCAAGTTGTACTATTCTCCCCCTCGTAGTGTGTCACCTTGTCGTAGTGAGATGATTCCTTATTCTTATGATTACCTGCTAGCAGTACCAAGCGTTACCCCCGGGAAAGTCTGGATATGAGAAGTCAGAGTCCAAGTGCACACCGTACGGACCCTTCCTACACGTTGGAGAGGTACAGTAGGTCCCTAGTAAGGTCGAGTCTCTTCGAAAGCCCGTACCCAATGGGCCAGTAGGGCAGTATTCCATCCGGAGAGGGTTTTTGATTGGCCGCGGGTCCACTCGGACGTATTCCGAGGCGGTGTCCGGTGGCAGATACTTGGGTTCCCGCATGGAGAACTAGGATTGGAGATTCTGCCTCCTTCGGGGAGATATGAGGAATGATCTGATTCATAGCTCTATGCAGAGTTGGCACTCGTGGAAGGCATCACGCTCACCTAGAACATCGTGACACGGGGATGATGCCATAGTGTGAACCAGCGCAACAGATGTTCTATTCCTGCTCCGCCGGATAATCCACGTGACAAATCCGGGCAGTCACATGATGAAGACCCACCCCCGGAGCGGTGGATCCACTTTCGGAGAGGGGTCACGGTGTACATGCAACAATTCATCGTCATGGACTTTTTTTTATTAAAAACACCTCACAGGACTACCGCGTCTTTAAGACGGCATTGATTAGGGAAGGTCAACATGACTTCCGAAGAGAAAGCCATCTTGGCTTCGGAGACGGAGACGCTCCGTCTGAGAAAGGGAGGAGATGATCCTCCTGCGGTCCCACAAACAACGCGGGATATGGAAAAGCCGTCTTCCTCGCGAATACCGGGCTTGTCCACAATCTTCTCGAAGCCTGATCCGAGATTCTCTAAGATAAAAGGAGAAGGAGAACGAGTTACTGGCATACTAACGCCAACACGTTTCTCGGAATCCTTGGCAGAATCCGTCTGTTCACTAGGAGGAGAAAAGAGAGCGGCCACCAAACCGATCGCGCTGCACGACAAGGACGGAGTCTCTCTTTTACAGATGCGGAGGATTCCAAGCCACATCTTTCTAAAAAGAGGAGAGAGCGGAGAAGACTGAACTCCTCTTATAAGGGCCAATTTATGGCTCAAAAGAGGCTTGAGGACAAGGCCAGGAGGAAACAGGAGGAAGAAGAGAAAGCGGCGACGTTTCCGAGGAATCCCCAGCAACACCCGAAGCCCAACAAAATGCTTCGCTCAAGCAATGCAGAAGGAGAAAGAGCTGGCGGAACAGTATCTCCACCAATTGGCAGCTGCAATTAAAGGCGAGTCCCGGGAGGCTCTTGCGACAATTCAAAAGATCTAAAAGTCCTAGAACCTCTAGGGAGGAGTCGTCAAGACTTTGGAAGGCGAGCGATATTCTTTATAAAAGGGTACAGTGCGACACCTCCAATAATGACAAGAAGAGAAGACCTTCGTTGAGGAGATCTGCCAGTTCCGGCGGACAACAAGAGCCTCAAGATCGACCTTGAAGCTCTTAGAAGACGGAACTGCCGGTGACGAAGTTCCGCAGACATAATTCCCTTGATCATGTAACCGAGCCGTCGGCCCTCGAGGGGGAGATGAAGGAGGCAGAGAGGAGGTGGACGAGTTTCCCTTCTAGTCGCTTCTAAGAGCCTGAAAAGGGTGGAGAAGGAAACTTTAGCGTGGAGACCTTCCCTCTTTGTCTCCCAGTTCTGAGATTCAAGTTAAAGAGAGCCCCGACTGCGCTTATTGCGGAACCGCTCGAGACGGGATCGGAGGACACCCGGGGGAAAGTCAGAAATCTCTCACTATGGGGGATCTGGAAAAGGTATTGGGGAGAATACTCTCCAATACCATTAAAAGCTTGGGACTCGGAACGCTTGGGACTCGGAACGCCCCGTCTCCCCCGAGGAGACTGCCCTTTATTATATTGAAGTGACGAAGAAAAGAGGGCAGTGGAGCGCGACAAGCGATAGGAAAAAGGAGGGTGTACACCCTGAGAAGCCACCATGGATGGGAAAAGGAAGAAAGAGAAAACGGATGAAGCAGCCGGTGAGACCTCTCTCCGTCTACATCAATGGAGAAATCCCCGATGACAATCGACTCCTCCGGCTGATAGACCCACCGTCGTCCAAAAGCCGTGAGCCTGGGCGACGGTATCAGGGGCAAGAGAAGAAGGGGGACATTATAACAAGCGACTGACCACCCAATCCCTCTCCTCCTATCCACGAAGGGGAAGAGGAGGCCATACAGCAATAGAGGAAGGATACCCCTGCCTCGGAACAATCTTCCAAAAGGAAGAAAATTTCAAAAAAAATGGCCGCGGGCAGCAATTACCCTATCCGGGCGGATATGAGACGGGTCTGCCAATCGATCGCCAACCTGGAGGACCTCGGAATCTCTGGCGTCCGCTCGAGGCGTGCCGTGACTGGGGGGGAGGCCTCGTGTTGGAGATTCCCGGCTAGGGAGGAAGGGCCAATGCCGACGCCTTGGCCGGGAAGATGCGAGAGGTTTTCTTAGGCCGGGACGACATCAGGATCTAAAGGCCCGAGAAGACCGCGGAGGTCCGGATCAAGGGGTTAGATGATTTCGTGACCCTCGCAGATATCATGGCGATCCGATGTTGATGGATCTCTTATCCAGACTGGAGAGGTCTAGCACGCATTCAACGGGTTGGGCACCTGTGCGTTGCCCACTGCAATCAAGGCGTGCTGACCCCGAAGGGTAAAATTACGCTGTAGGCTGAACGGTGGTCCACGAGCGGCTGGTGGCACGCCCTGCAGTGTTATAAGTGCATAGGGATGGAACATGTCCAGACCTGCACGAGCGAGGTAGATCGCAGCGGAACTTGCCATCGCTGCGGTCAAGTGGGCCAGCCAATGCGGTCGCCGCATGGGGTGCCCTATGCGTATGGAAAGAAAGGTCGACCACCGGATGGGGAGTAAGGATGTCTTACAAATCAAAGGAAGAAGGGGAAAAATACCTCTTCCCTGCGAGGTTATCAGCGACGAGAAGGACACTTGGAGGGGAACAATTGCCTCCCCAGACAACGTCAGGGTCTAACAGAAGAGCCTATGGAAATGAGCCTGAAGGAAACAAAATTATATTAGATTATATAGAATTTATTGTTCCCTTTAGAGTTACAAAGGAAAAACGTATACAAAAATACTTGTCAGATATCTTACGACTAACTTAACATAACTTACGTTTAACTTAAAACTAACGCCGCTACGTACAAACACAAACACACACGCCCGCGTGAGACCTCCGCTTCCGTTGTAAACTTCTATTCTGCATCAAATATTACGACCGCGACTGATTAATTGACTAACTAATTGACTGGTTGTTTGCTTAGCTGGCTTTCTCTTTCTCTCCTCCTCCCCTCTCTCTCTCTCCTTTCTCTATCTTCCTCTTCTTTTTTCTCGTCTT